TTCTGCAAGGGTTCTCCAAAAGTGATTTATGGAGTTTGGAATGGTCAGGTGGTACTGTTTGTTCTCCATGTATCCAGGTGCTAAACTGCATTAAAAGATAGTTTAAAATAAATTACTGCTCTGTTTTTACTTTTCCACACAAGTCATTACCACAGTGATGTTACAGAACCACAAAGGAAAGGGCCAGTGACGTGCACAAAAGGGAGTTGGACCCCAAGAATCTCGATTAAAACGTAATCCATATGATGGTATATGGTGTCAAGGAATGTAATAGATTGGGATTAGAGAGCCTCTGTGGGAAAAAGTCCACATTGGCCAGTAGAGGGAGCTTCCTGGCTGCTATTTCTGATTAAGAGGACAAAAGTCCTTCAGAAAGCAACTCACTCAACTTCTGTTGCAGATTTGGCCGCTCATTTCCACAAGTGGTTATAAACAGCTGTAAAATTTAATCTATTTCTTTTTCTGGTAAGGACTAAAAGATCAGTCCAGACTTTGCTCCTATATTTTGGCCCTTGAAGAGCACAACTTTCACTATTGCTAGCCAGGGGTAACTTACTTTGCCCTGCATTTTGTTAGTTTTACATGGGGGATACAGCAAGTTTATAATTAAACAGACTAATAATGATAGTTTAAAAAAGGACTAGAAAAGATGTCATCTCTCTTGATGCGCTTGGATAGCAAATTAGGGAACGCCAACACCCTACAAAACAAGTCTTCAGAAAAAAAACACTACTCTTCCTCTCACACTGTCCCTACTGTTGGCAAAGGCAGCGCTCTGTGTTACAAGGCAGCAGATCTATAGATACACTGTGCATGTGGCGGGATATAGAAATATATTCTTCACTGATCATGAGTCTAATGATGTAATGTTTAGTTGGCAGCAACAATCAAGTGACTGAATATGTTCTGATAAATGTTTTCACATCTTTTTACCAATTCAAAAAGAAGGCTGAATGTAAGCATTTATACATTTTAAACGGGAAAGTAGTATTTTCTCCTAGAAGAAAACAGACTTGATTATAATTAAGCTGCTGCCATAAAAGTCGTCTTTAACTGATACTTAATTCATAGTTGAAATTCCAAGCTTCTAAAATAAGCTTGCATAGACTATACTGAAAGATTTCTTTTGGAAAGACTAAATTTACATTTAAAAATAAATGGGTTTGCAATACTGAGCTAAACTATGATAAATTGAATTTGACTGATGTGAGGTGAAATCAGGTTGCTACTAGATACTAATCTTTTAAGTCAGTGGGAGTTGCCCATACTTAAAGGGCAGAATTTGGGCCAATTAGTTTAACTATGACCTGAAATAAATGATTATGGAGAAAAACCATTCAGCAACCAATGTTCGGCACACAAATCCAAGTCACCAGCTTTTCAGCATGATTGTGGACTCCCCCACCAAAGTTAGTAGTAGAATCCCTCCTGATCTTGAGAGGCTTTGGATTAGATTCTTGGTTCAGACTTGCATCCAGTTTCCAAAGGAACAAATCTCAATACTCAGACAAGAAAAGGCAGAGAGAATAAAAGGATCAGCCTTGAAAACGAGCAGCCAGTGACCCCCCCAAACAACTCAAAGCAGGTTGAATTTACATTTTACTTCAAAAAAAGGGAAGTACATACATGAAGGGAAAATAGGGAGAACAACAATTATTTTAAACCATCATTTCTACAGTTTTACCTACAAGTTACCGTGTTCGAGTCAGCAGGCTTCTCACCGGCTGCCGCACACTTGCTTACAATATTAACAAGATTGTAAATCAAGGAAACATTTTCAAAGTTGAGGCCCAAATGGAAATCGTAAGTTATCATACACAGTGTAAGTTTATAGTACACAGCATTTTTTCTTCTTTAAATGACATAACGCAACAGCAGGAAGGAGAAGTAGTAGTTAATTACTAACACTAGAATAATCAAATTTGTATGTTATACATATACAGCAACTAACTGCTTTACAAAAAAAGCAAAATAATACAATATATTGTCACATGTATTTACAGTGTAGTAAATATACTTTGTCAAATTTTACACAAAATCTATTTACAGGTGAATATACTGCATAAAAAAAGTGTGTGGCCAACACTAAAAGTGACTTTCTGTGGTAAGTTGGTTGCATAACATTAAGTAAGACGTGCTTCATGACATCTGGAAAATATTAACCTTAGAATGAAACAAAGCCCTGAAAGCTACAAACCAGTTAGGAATAGAGCACTGGCACTTCCCCAAATGCTCAGTCCACAACACTCATTTGAAATGTTTCCTTTTCATGAAAAATAATTTGCATGCACATTGAAGCAGAAGCATTGGTATAATTAACAGGTAAAGATATGTGCTATTGAAATATCTACCGAGTTAACTTTAAGTCAGGGAAAATACAAACACAAACAATAAAATGTCAATCTTCTTTACAGTACTCAACGTGGTTAATGCATAATGTGCTCTAAAACAGGGGTGTCAAACATACGGTCCCTGTGATGTGTTTATGTGGTCCGCATGTCATTCAGATTCTCTGAAATCTAAATAGAATATTTAGGGCCCTGTCACACTTATCTGCACTGATCTACTTCAGTTACGCAAAGAGCATAGCTGAAATTGACATACTCACTGTGATCTACTTCAGTTACGCAAAAAGCATAGCTGAAATTGACATACTCACTACGGTGTTTTGCATGCGGTAAGGTTGGTGAGGGCTGCTCTCCCGTTGATGCCGGCTACTCTTCTTGTCTTGCAGGAGTACCGGTGTCGACGGGAGTGCTCTCAGAGGTCAATTTATTGTGTTTACAGCAGACGCGATAAAATTGATGGCCGGTGGATCGATCTCTGCAGCATTGATCCACCATGTGGAGCAAACAAGGCCTAGGCCCCATGACTGTAGAGATCATCTCAAAGGCTACGTCTACACAGTGGAGCTATTTCGGGATACCTCTGGTATCCTGAAATAGGTATTTTGCGTCTTAAGAGCAAGCCCATTATATCGGAAAGTAACGGCTCACTATTTTGACGTCCCTGTAAACCTCACTGCATGAGGGGTAAAGGATGTTTTAGAATAGTGCCTTATTTCAAAACAACATTGAAATAAGCGCAATTTGTGTAGCTCATTTCGAGGTAAGGGTGCTGTGTAGACGCACCCAAAGTGTGATCAGTGTGTAACCCATGCAGTGATGGGTGCTGAGTCTACAACTGTCAAACTGACTCGGAGGTGTGATGTCCTCTGTTCCTGGTTAATCGGACTGGAGTACCAACTTTAACGCTCAGGGATGACACTTCAGGCTCAATATTAACACTGACCAATTTAACAGATGGATTAGGTACGGGGGAAGGAGTGGAGCACACTGTTGGCAACAGGCTAGTGCTCCAGGGAATGAAATGCAGAGAAAAGGAGAGGACTCAAAGATAAGGAAAAGGGAAGGATACAAAGCAAGGAGGATAAGAAATTTAAGAAAGGAGAAAGAAAAGGACAAAAACAGTAGTGGATCTACTGGGGAGCAGGTTTTCAGAGTGAAGAATGTGACAGTAAGGCACTGAACAAATAACTGATCACTAGACAGCTCATCACTATATGAAAACCATGTTTCTCCCTTGATCTCTTTGCAGCCCTCCTACTGATGTTGGTGGTTGTTCCACTGTACAATGTGAGTTTATGGTCCTTAATTTATAACCTGGCCCACAGACTACAATTAACCTTAGAATACAGACCTCCCCCCAAATGAGTTTGGCACCTCTGCTCTAGAAGGGTTAGATTTTCTGACCCAAACCAATGGCAGAAATATTAAAAAGACAATCCCTCCCCACCAAGGAAACTTACTAAGGTGAGTTACTTTTTACTGTCTCTCTTACATGGAATCAGTTTTGGTCACGTGGTTATTGAGGGACTCCTGCAGTTCTCACATGAAGGAAAATTCTGATCACTTTGATTTAACAACAGATACTTCAGATGCACTTTTTTTTTTACACGAATTCCAATTTCTAGTGTGCCCTGATTTGTTTACAACGAGTAGTTCTGTGGCACCTTAGAGACTAACAAAAATATATGAGCTTTCATGAGTAAAACCATGAAGTAGGCTTTACAGGACTAATTGTTGTTTTTAAAGTTACAGATTAACACAGCTACCCTTCTGAGATGGATTTATTCAGGCAATCTCAAAACACTGGAAAAGGTAGCTTCAAATATACTCAACCCAATCCAATCCAATTTGGTAATAAACATGAAAAATTAAATACGTAAGAAAATTAGCTTGCTTGGAAAACTGAGAGCTAAAAGTGTCTATTTTCTAACAGTATATTACCCTAACAAGATTCCCACCCCTTCTGGTGAAAAATTAAATAGTGAGTTTTATTGAGGCTTCAATATCTAACAAAACTGAACACCTAGAAAACTGACAGGGCTAGAATTAGCTTGATTCAATAGGATCAAGGTTTTAAACAGATGGAGATTGTGAAACTGACTAATACACAACTGGATGTACTAGATGGAAGAGATTTTATCTGTGATATCCAAGGTTATGAATGCATAGCAGCTTAGTACCTGGCACTGGTCATTGCTCTATTCCTAAATTCAATTCTGTCCTTATAACCCATTTCATACATAGCATTTGTAGAATTTTTAATAATTTTCTACTGCAGCTTCTACGTGATCAAGAATAAAAAAAAGTTTGGTTAATTGCACAAGTCTTCAATATTTTCCAACAATATCTATTTCAAGATAACTACTAATTCTAAGTTTTCCTCTTATTTTGGCAAACTATTTGCATATTAAGTTTGTGTTCATAGTTTTTCCAGGACTGTAAACAAATTAAAAAAATTAAATTGTTATTTTAGGAATCAATACAATAAAGGCAAAATTTTATTTACATAAACATGTTACACTGTTGCTGTGTGAATAAATGTGAATAATGTGCTATATCGATAAAATCTGAACACTTAGTTTTCCCAGTCTATTAATTTAGCTGTGGAGTTTGATTTACTGAAAGCCACTACTGAAATCACACTATGAGAGGTTTTTTTTAAATACTATATCCTTTCATTAAAGCAATTCATTAATTGCTAAATCCTAACATACAACAGGGACCACCTGGCATTAGCAGTAGATATACTTAGCCCTAAAATGAGCACCCAGATGACATGTCCTTATCTGTCATTTATATTTACCTCGGAGATCAAAATGTTCCACACATTTTTAGTCCATAAAGTTAGTATTTGCAACACTTAGTGCTACTTCATTACATCTCATTCAACATAGCAGCATATCACAGTCATCCATAGTTAATATACTACTGCAAGTTGACGAGCCTTTCACAGTGATAGAAAGCGATTTCAGTTTACTTCTTATAAACCCCAAACGTCATTGTTTCAAACTAAAAACAACTTATATTCTGCAAGACAAATTTCAAAATGTCTGCATTGATAGCAGAAATTGAATCGCAAACATTCATACATAACTTGTCTTTGACAAAATGTCAGTTATTTTTAAATCCATGTACCATTTTGCATTGACATTAACATTAATGATTTTGTATCATTGCTTGGGTAGCACATAAGCAGCTTTGCCAAACTAAAAATTCTTGAGTGAGTTGAAAGTTACTTGATACAACTTTCCCAAATAGTTAGTTTGCCAGGAATTTCTTGAAAGTGCATACAATTGGTAGAAAGGGCAAAACTAACATATAGGCTATGTGGAAACAAACAAATAAAAAAAAAGTAATATTTTCCAAGCAGCTACTAAGAGAGCATAAATAGTCAGTTCTTGATGATTTTCTTTCCTCAATACAGCCGTTTTTTTTAGTGCAGTCAAAGTTCAGCAAAAAATAAATTTGCTTTGGAAAAAGTCAGTTTGTCCAGTCTGGTCCATATACAGTCCTAAATGTAGGAAGCTACTTTCCGGGGAATGAAGAGACATGTGGCCACCTCGCCTTCTTAAATTTATTGCTAATTACTAAAGATTTAATTTATCAATCATCCACCTCTGGTTAGCTTTACTGCACTGTGGCTAATTTCATAGGTTGCTTTTAAGCATGGTAAAAAAAAGTCCACAGCTAAAAATCTGAAGGATTTGAATTAACAAGGATTATAGTACTTCCCCGGCTCATAAAGCCACTAATTTGGAAGTGTGCAAAACAGGATTAAACATTAACACTTTCCTTTGAAGAAGAAACAAACAAGGCATATGACAGAAGCAAGATAGAAATGTCTGAGAAATGGCTTTTGTATTTGGACAACTACTGTACTGCACTATTAAAGAATTCCATACTTTATTCATCTACAAAGTTCTTCAGGATCTACAAATGGTTCTGTTGAATGGTTCTGAAACACTGGCTTAAACCAAAAAACAGAAGAAAAGAAAAGAAGGCATTAAAATTCAGGCAATGTTTCAAGAGTTGATCATCCGGCAACATGGCTGGTGGGATGGGAACTTTAAGAATTAAGTGCAGCATCACAACTGGTAGAGGGCCACTAGTGAAGCCCATGTACATAAGTCAGGTTTAAAAAAAAAGTTTCACACCATCTTTTTAGCGCTGTGACGTTTGAAACTGCCAGCACTTCGCTGCTTTTGCACTTGACTTGCAGACCCATGGCGTGTCCTCCCGCTGTTGGAGTGTCCTGTGGTAGGAGAGAGTTCGACATTCTCCTTGTCAATTCCTGATAGGAAATCAAGGGGACACAACATTAATTTCCTAAGGTTAAGATTCTCAGTCCCATTTATCTTATAGTTTAACATTTTAAAGGCAGGTTTTTCTTCGCTTAAATTGGCCACCAAGAAGGCATTTAACAATTTTAAAGGCAGACAAAAATTAGACACATTCTTTAGACTAAGAATAAGAAAGCTGAAAAAAAAAAAAAAGAGAACATAAGAGAAATAATAATGACTGCAGATGAAGCTAGAAGCAGGCAGGCCTTGACTGAATGGTAGTTACCATAGATTATAGAATAAAGCAGCTTCAACACATATCTTACCATAGCTTTCCAGTAGAGGTCACCTTCCATCTATCTACAACGGCTCACACCCTTCATCTTTCCATACATTCAATCAAACTTGAGCAAAATTAACATTGCAAATACCAAGCTAGAAAAGTTATATTAGCAGGGCCACAGGCTTCTTAGGTATATAAGACGAACGAGGAATCTGTTACAATCATAGCTCCATTTCATACGTGTCCCCTTCCTGACACTTCTAGTCTTGTGTAAAATGCCAAACACTTTGACAGCAAGTAGAGTACCATGTACTTGACATGTCTATTAGTACAGAGATGTTTCCTATCAAAAGCCCCTTAACATAAATATTATAAGGGGGAGGAGGAGGGTAATCAAGAGTTCTATACAGCATAATGGAAGAGTAAACACAAACATTTAACAGTAATGTACATGAATACTGTTATGGCAACTTAAAATTCCAAGTGTCCTACAGAGTGTAATTGGATATGTGGAGCTGTAAAGATGTGGAGAAATATGCTTTCCAACTCATGAGATCTAGATGCTTCCACTCCTTGTCATATGGTGTGGTTCTGGCTCCACTCTGTTTTCCCCTTTGGTTGACTGTGTCCACAACTAAAGAATTAGGGGACAGGTGGGGAAAACAAGAAATTGTCACCCTGTGATGTGACATCGTATTTACAGTCAGATCTTTTGCAGACTGGTGGCATTGTGGTTGGCATCTGCCAGATTACCTTGCCAGGGTCCATAAGCGCTGGGTCCATTGGTAGGGCGAGCTTAACAGAGGGGGAGGCATGTAATATGCTGGTTAATTTATGTTGAGTTTCAGGGAGACTCACTAGGGAGATCTCCAGGATGTCAGCCACCCTTTTGTATAGCTCCTGGAATGATGGAAAGTCACCTCCCACTGTGGGAGAAGGGGACATTAAAGTATCATCAGGGGAGGATGATATAATGTGCATTGGAGGGTGAGAAGAAACAGAAGAGTCCTCATCATTCAAGGCTGGCTCACCTTCCTCCTGGTAGGCTGACCTGTCCAGGGTTGACAGGGAGGTGGCCTTTGATGGTGTGGATGGAGTTGGCTGAGGCTGCACCTTTTGTGGCTGCTAGGCCTGGTATGGTACCCAGGGGTCTCAGTAAGGCCAGTTGGCTGGTAGTGGCACAGGAGGAGACAGCCATTGAGATGGTTGCCATTGCAGCAGTGGCTCTTGCTGAGGCTGCTTAGGAGAGGCGCGTCTTGGGGTGTGGGTACCAACCAACGGCGTGTCGTCCTCATCACTTAAGAGCGGCAGTGCCAACCTTGCCGGAGTGGAAAGTGTGAACTTGCCAGACGTGGGTGAATGGTTGGTACGAAACAATGGGGTCATGGGCACCGAGTTACCCTGAGATCCTCTGTAGTAGTAAAGGGCTGTGGTGCCGCGGCGCCGGTGTGGGTGGCAGTGTGGAGAGTGTTACAGCTGCAATCTGCGGTGATGTCGGTGCCACATGGGAGGCCGTTGGTACCACATGTTTGTGCCAGAGGTGGCATAGTTGCCAAAGGTGCCGAGTGAGGTTTGGATTTCTTCGGTGCTAGTGGTGCCTTGGCAGATGGTGATTTGGCCTTTGCCGTCATCAGCACTGAAATGTGTTCAGATGGTGCCGATTTAGACTTGGCCTTCTCTGGAGCCTTGGTGCCCACTTGGTGAGGGGTCCTTGGACCCTCGGGAGCTGTCGGTGCCTGACGGTCCCAGTACCTCCCTGTCCAGTGCCCTGGTTGAGGTCAGTGCAGGGGGTATCTAGGATGCCTGCCTTAGTTTTTTTTTTTGAAGGGGATGCGATCTCTTTCTGGGTTGTTCTGAGGAAGAGTCTCTGGCGCCAGAGCCTGCTGGAGCCACCTTCTTGGGCATGGCAAGGGGAGAAGGCTGTTGAGGTGGGGTAGAGAGCATTGGAGCCGAAAGCGGCCTCACTGTTTTCAAGAGAGTTTAAGCTTGAGCTCCCTTGCCTTGTGTATGTGGGCCGTTAACTGCTTGCATTGCTGGCTGGCATGTGCCGCCCCAGGCACCAGACACACTGTTGGAGACAGGAATTGAGTCTGCAAGACAGGCAGCGTTTGAATCCTGGGGATCCTGGCAGCCCAGGAAGAAAACAACTTGCTAAGGCAAATGGCTTTAACAGCTACAATAAATTTTTTTTGTAACAATTAATGGTAACTAGAAAACTACTAACTATGAACACGATTATTAAACTATACTAACGATAATAACACGAAAACTTTGAAAATTGTGTCAAAGCTGGAGAGCAAGTGTGGTTCTGACTGACACTGGCGGAGGCAGACAAAAAACTGAGGGGATGGTTGGCTGCACATTTGTAGCAGCAGAACCGTATGCGCCACTGCTTCATGTGCGCAGCCTACCGGAGGGCACTGCTACCTAAAAACTCTGACTAGGCATGCAGCGGTGCCCCAAACACCTATAGGAACACTCCTCAAAGAACTGATTTTTCACAGACGTCTCAAATTCTAGATAGATGCCTATCTAGAGAGATTTCATGCAGTGGAGTGAAAGATGACATTTTTTCTGGATCAGTATCTGAAATTTTCATTAAGAATTGAGAAAAAGATGTATAAAGAACGTATCCAGTTACTGCCATGATATACTATATATATGTAAAAATATACACAATCTCCGTACACTACATTAGAAGATCAAATACAAAAATTGTGACTTGTGAAAGAATTGATTATAACAAAAATATTTCCCTGTATTTGGTGTGTTTAAATGTACCTCCAGGCTTAAGAAAGAAGAAATCAGATACTGATGAGGCATACGGAAACTAGTTGGAATGTCTTATTTTATAATACTTCCAATACACCCTAAAAATTATTCCCAAAGTATGGGTTGCAACCCAGTATTAGGGATATGAGGCACTGGGTTACTGGGGAGCTCCCCATTGGGGGAGTTTCCTGGCAGCTGTTGATGAGTTCCCCAGCGGCTGCTGGCAGGTCGTAGGCATAAACAACTTTTCCCTTTGTTGTGGTCTGGGTCACTAGATCACAAGAAAAAAGTTTGAAGACCACTTCCCTAAAGTGAGTGCAATAAATCCTTGTTTTCTAAACAGGAAGAAGTTTTTGATTACAGGTATAGGAATGCACATTTGCACTTCTCATGTACTGACAAATTTTCAATTAAAAAAAACAAACTGTGTGGCCAGTGTGATTTAAATAGGAATAGATGGACCTTTATCAGACCCAGTATGGCTGTTCTCATATATAGTTGTATGTATTCAGAGATATCAACATCTGTAACAGTAATATCCAGCCTCTTGTCCCAGATATTTTAGTGGAATAAAGATGGTATTGAGGTGAAGTCACTGGACTAGGACTTTGAAGATCTGGGTTCAGTGTCTGGCTTTAGTGGGAAATTCCATTAATTTGTTTGTGCTTCAGTTCCCCATGTGTAAAATGGGGACAATACTTAACTCTGTCTAGTCCATTTAGATTGTAATCTTTTCAGGATTGTAATCTTTTAGGAACGGTGTCCTTGCATGTGAATATAGCATGCTGGGGCTTGCAGATGGTACTGGCATTTTGAACACAAAAGGATTTTTATTTAGGCTGAAGTTCTGTTATACTTTCAGCAATACCATCCTTCCACTATTATACTATTTCTTTGTCTAATTCAGCCCTCATAATAACCTAAGTAATTTTACTGATAACCAGGCATTTTACATGGAAATCGACAATAGAACTCTGGCATGGAATGTTGCTGTTTTAGTGCCCATGCTAAAAAATGGGATTTAAGACCAGAATCATTGGGCAGATAGGTAGTTGGTATATAGCAGTGTTTTTCAACCTATTTATTAATAAAGTACCCCTTGTTCACACAAAAAAGTACCCCCAGTACCTACAGTTTTCAGACGCACAACATTTTTTTCTACCATTGCAACACATTTGTTTAATCAAATTAATTGTAGCTGGGCGGGTGATAAAATTATTGGGTGTAAAAAATACAAAAATAATAAAGCGCTGTAAAACTTAACACAAAAATTCAATTTTCTCCAAATTTCAGTTGTGTTGACGTACCCCCCAAACTTCTCTCGAGTACCCCTAAGGGTACTCGTACCACTGGTTGAGAAACACTGGTATATAGAACAGTGAACAATTGATGCACATTGAAGTTTATTCAAATGATTCAATCATGATTTGATCTGTTCTCTGATTATACTCTCCTCCTGCCAGAGGCCAGAAATTTTCCTGAAAAAGAACAGGTATGAATGTGTCTGAGCAGCAGGTCTGGGTTACAAGTAACATTGGGCTACATTAAGTTTTTTTAAGCATGAGTCAGACAGCATTGCCCAAATGCAAGGACTTCTGATATTTTTATTATAAACATTTTACAAGTAGATCACAAGATCTTACTACACTGCAAACCACATGTACAACAAATTTGTCTCCCCCACCACCAGCATTGAAAGGAGACTAGTACTGTAACAGTACTGGAAGCTGGTACTGCACAGGGCACTTTCGTAGCTGAAGACTATAATGATAACTCAAGCTGCGTGGTCACAAGATCAGCTGATACTGAAAATACCTTCAGCGCTAAAGAAACCTGTGTTGGGAGCATCTGTACGGCAGGGGCTGGCACCAGAGTTATCAGCACCACATGCACAAAGATCTGCACCAGGCAAATCACAGACTTCTGTCGCAAGTGCTTGGAGACCCGAAGAACCTG